TCTAGTCCTACCACGAACGACAGTCAAGTCCTACCACGACAATAAAGTCCTACCACGACAGTCTAGTCCTACAACGACAGTCTAGTCCTACCACGACAGTCTAGTCCTACCACGACAATAAAGTCCTACCACGACAATAAAGTCCTACCACGACAGTCTAGTCCTACCCCCACAGTCTAGTCCTACCACGACAGTCTAGTCCTACCACGACAGTCTAGTCCTACCACGACAACCTAGTCTTACAACGACAGTCTAGTCCTACCACGACAGTCTAGACCTACCACGACAGTCTAGTCCTACCACGACAGTCTAGTCCTACCACGACAGTCTAGTCCTACCACGACAGTCTAGTCCTACCACAACAGTCTAGTCCTACCACGACAGTCTAGTCCTACCACGACAGTCTAGTCCTACCACGACAGTCTAGTCCTACCACGACAGTCTAGCCCCACCTCGGGGTAGGACTAGACGTTTTAAAAGTTTTAAAACTTCTCTGCCTTCTATCAAATTTTGAGTAATTTCCTTTGACCGGAAGTAGTAATTTACGTTATTTCCGATTTCTAAAAAAAACGCATGTGAATTTATAAAGTACTAATAATATCCCGCACTATTATGCACATTTTATTTGGCGTTCACTTGGTGTGCAATTCTTTTTTTTTACGAGATTCTATTCTACGAGATAAATGGCCCGTTGAGGAAGGATGCAACGGGCGCTAGGTTGATACGGTTGATAGTGTTGTCTTTTCCTCTAAATCGAAACTAAAAACAAAATCACCACCTCAACTTAAATTTTAACCGAAAACGAAAAATTTCATTGAAAACAGATTTCTGGCCAGAATCGGCATTATAACCGGAATTAAGCTTCATCTACGCGTAGTTACTTCATATTGATACTGAACATAATCAAAGTCATATCCCTAAAACTTGCACCTAATCTCAAACAAGATATAGGTCGCACCAAGCATGTCTACGTCCCATTTAAAGAAATATACTTTTATAGAAAACATGTTTTTACCTGTGTCCGCCCGTTCCAAAAAATGTAGTCCATCCTCACCCCCAAAAACTTCAAGAGCCCCCACCCCTCTGAGGAGGAATAACTCTGAAAGAAACACTGGTCGCATTTGTAGCTTATACAAACTAAAGGTAGAGAATCTTCTATTGAAGTATTTTGATTGGCGTTCACTTGGTGTGTAATTCTTATTTCTACGACATTTTATTCTCTTTTTAAAAAAAAGTTTAAGTAATTAAAAATAATGTCTAAATCTATATCCCGAGTTGCATTCCCCTGCTGTTTTATATAAGAATTTTCGAGATAGTTTAGGGGAGATCACTCCCGGTTTATTTAAATATTGAACACTTGCAAAAAGGGTCATACATAAATGACGTCACGCTCTTTTTGACGATTTTTACCTACACCCTCCCATCCGTCACAAAAAGCCAGACACCCCCTCCTAAAGTGACGTCCAGAGGCGTAGCGACCCTTCCCGGCGCCCGGGGACATACTTTCGATTTGCGTCCGTCCCCCCCTCAAACTGTCGATTTGCACCCTCCCCCACTCGAACTTTTAATTTGCAACACCCCCTCTCAAACTTTCAATTTGTTTTTCCAACCCATTTTGGCGCGCGCCCCCCCTAAGGTCGGCGCCCGGGAACATATGTCCCCCCCCCCTCGCTACGCCACTGGTGACGTCACACCTCAGCCTACAACTCCTGCTAATATTTTTATTTGAAATTCTAATTTTAAATATGGGAAGACAATATTCATGTTTAAAATAATATGATAGTTATGATATTCTATAAAAAAAATACTTTTACACTCAATTCACATTACATTGAGTCAATAGTGTGGCAGTTGAAGTTCATAGACGTGGAGCTCCGAGTTCGAACCCAGGGTTAGCGCGACCGGTATTAGTGTCTTTTTTAAGTTTTTTTTTTCATATTGGAAGCATAACGTGTGCTTTTTAAAAAAAAAAAAAATTCCAAACATCGTCACTCGCGTGATTGATTGCTTACGTTTACTATCCCGTGGGTGAAAAATCCCACCATGGTCGGCGGGGTCACTGTGAGTTCAGCAGGCCTAAAGTACATAGAATGAACACAAGTTCACGAGATCTCGGTGTCTAAACTTCTCTCTTCTCCCCCTTTTCAAACAATTAGACAAACAGACCTTCGCTAATTCTTGTCATTTAAAAAAAATTTCACATAGGCTTAATATAATAATATCGAATTAGATCTACTATCACACATGCTAGATGTGTGTTTACCTTTTGATGAGAATAAGTTGTGTTGTATTTTTTTACTGTATTTCTACTGTCTCTGTTGATGTGAGATGATTAAATCACAAACATAATTTTCTCAATTGGAAAGAATGAACGGTTGTAAATAGTAAAATTATTTACAACGAGCCGACCCGCGGCGTATCATACGCCGCTATTTAGTTGTTTTATTTTCTAATTTTCATTAATTCATAATTTGTGAATTCGACAGTACCAATGCTGCCACTGAATATATTTGCTTTAAAATACTATCAGTAGCTCGTTAAGAACGATACCCCCCTCCTTTCCCCAACCCCTACCCCCCGGTGAAAGCAGCCTCCTCTTAGTTACCTCCCCTAATTTTAAAATTGTTTCAAGCTAAATTATCTCCCCCTAATAGCCGTCACTAAACCCGGCTCTACGATTGTAAACATTTAGCGTGAACCACAGTTCACTAGACCATGTAGGGGTGGGGTTGGTAGGGAGCGCGCTCACAGCTTGTTTTCTAACGTCTCCAAGAAGAGAATTATACATATAGATATTGGCAATTATCCTGAAGCAACTACGATCAAGAAGAACTAAAGCAAATAACATATAAGCACATAAAGGATCAATACCCCAGCAATACCTGGATTAGAGTATTCACAGATTGCTCAGCTGAAGATGTCACACAAAAATGGCTGGGCTGGCGTCCTTATTGAATGGCCAAGCGGAGAAAGCTTAGAAAAATCAATAGCCACAGGCAGCCTATCCGACAATTTTAGAGCAGAGATAGAAGCTTTAGATCATGCAGCAAACCTGTCAGAACATCCTGAATCTCCAGATAGTCAGATAGTCTTTCTTACAGATGCTAAATCTGTCCTGCAGTCCCAAAAAAATACAGAATCCTATACTCAATCACTCAGGACCAGAGTTTCTTCCAGGCATCTCTTCAGGGGGGCTTAGCCCCCCCCCCCCCCCCCGAACGAAATGAAATTTATATAATTTATATAGAAAATATATACTTTTAACAGTGTCCGCCCCCCCCCCCCAAAGAAAGTTTACCGCCCCCCCCCCCCCCCGAAGATTTCAAGTGCCCCCCCCGGAGAAAAAAGTCTGGAAGAAACACTGCTCAGGACACTTGAAAGGCTAAAAAATACCTGCAGAAAAATTGTGCTGCAGTGGATCCCGGGCCACTGCCAGATACAAGGAATTGAGATCGCGGACCAGCTGGCAGAAATTGTGAGAAAGAAAAAACAAACAAGAAATCTCGCTACATCCAAAAGAATCATTAAAAAACAAACACAGATGTGGCCTGACACACACCCACACTACAAAAAAAAAAGACGATGAATATTACAATTTGACACGAAAACAACAATACATAATCTTTAGACTCAGAACAGGCCACAACAGACTAAAACAGCATATGCATAAAAAACTAAAAACTGGATGTGGCGAAATATGCCCTTGTGGCAAGACCCCGGAGAATACGGAGCACATCTTTCAAGAATGTTCCTTATATAGCCATTCGCGATCCAAACACTGGCCCCTACACACCCCACACAAGGAAAAAATATATGGGGCACCCGCTGATCTGGAGACCACAGTCCCGTTCATACACCAAGTTGGGCTTGTTGTTTAAATCCTCCAACATATACATAATTAAGAACGAAGAAGACATCCTGAAGCAAATCTGTACTGTCCTAGTTCTCATTTGTTCATGATGGGTAAAGGTGTTATTGTTCATAGAATCACCATAGACCATAGTATTGCCATATTGCTTTAAAGTAGTTTAAAGGAAGAAAAATTAGTGTTCATCTTATTTTCTAATTCATCTTAAAAAAACCATCAGATTTAATTTGATGTTTAGATCAATATATATTAAAAAACTCACAGGAAAATAAAACGTATATAAAATAATTTAATAATGCAGATTCTGAAAACTTTAAAATGGATTTATTAAAGAGATCAAAACAAAAATAGTTTAATACTAATACTCACACATTAAAAAAATATAAATGGCATTAATTTCCTAGACATGTTTATCATAGAACTGATAATAACACATTTAGATACACTCACACTACAGTATCACAATATCATTGGAATCACCAACAGAAATTAGCTAGTAGGCTGTAATATTTAACTTAAATACATGAATTATTTTACATGAGCTTTTAATAACAATTATTATCAATTGTTAAGATTGCAAAATAAATTTCACTAAACAAAAAAGAATCTTGGCACACAAGATATAACCTTTACAACAGGTAGCTTAATTATGTATTGGAATGTAACAAAACAAAACTGCAACACACAAGATCTATTCACAAAATACAAAAAAACAGTAAATACGTAGTTTATGCATCCCATTTCTATATGAAAAATGTTTGTTCTAAATCCAGTAGAAAAGCTGACAATTCTTATTGATGAGAGCTAATGAACAAGCCTATTCTACATGGGTGTGTGTGAAATTTAAAACTGAGTGTAAAAGACATTTTGACAATAGTTCCATGGGAAGCATTTTTAAACTTCAAGCAAACAATTAAAAACAAATTTTGATTTCTAAGCATTACATATCCTAACAAACAAATAAGTCTATTGCAAGTATGTCTTAAATATATAGTGAAATTTAAGAAAATCTAAGTACTGTTGCTTACTTATTAAAATTTGTGAAAACCTGAAAGACTAAGCAAGAAAAACTACAAAGAATTTTTTTTGTGTAGAACTCATTAAATTGTCAGGCCATCTTATCACAGTTTTTCTGCATCATCACATGAGGATGTCACTTCGGATCATCCTGTGACCGAGGCTACTGGCTAGAATATTCAAACATCCTCTGATGGCAGGTGCTATGGAACATCATGTGACATCAGATGAAACATCCTGTGGTGTTAGTTATTCTGATCATCACTGTCTGGGTACACCTGAATGGGGATTGAAATCACTCGACTGTGGTGACATCCATTGTGGGAGCTAAAAAAACAATTTTAAATTTGTTCATCTTATTCTGCAAACGTTAATAAAAATATCTTTTTCTCTAATTTTCTCAACATTGCAAAATTTGAAAAATTGATAAAAAAATGGAAGAGATATAATATTTCATTTTCAATAAGAACTTTGTTTTTAGGTAAAAATTACAAACTATGAATTAAAACATTTTGTTTCCATTATTTTAAATACAGATGTAGTTTTTATTCTTAAAATTTGAGATGAATAAAAATATTTGTTTAGAGAACAACAAATATAAAGCTACCAGAAAGGGAGAGATTTAATTGTTGTGTCCCCGAAACATACCTGACTCTAGCTAGCACCTCATCATAGGAACCAACATCCACCATATCTAAGTACGGCTTCCATGTCTGACCCTTGTCCACTGAGTATGACATTGGCTGACCAGGGTAACAGCTACTCAGTTCTAGCAGACCGTCCTCAGCTACTCTACACAAACATAAATGTAATAAGTGCATTCCTTAAAACCGTCCAGAGACTAGAGAAAACAGCTATACTGAACCCTAACACATGATGAATAATGATGTTTTCTGAGTATATTATATTAACTGCCCTGAAAATATCTGTAAAATCTACCCATCTTCTCCTCAGCAAAACACTATTTTGCCTTTGAGCTTCTGTATATTAAAAAAAAGATAAACTAGAAATATTTCCTAAAATGTAAACAGATAGGCCTACATATCACACTAAAAGCGTCTTGGAATAAATGTAAAATTACACACTAACACAAACGCAAAAATTACAGATCCCTCGCAGGTTGAAAATCTTTTTTAGTCAGCATTGAAGATTCTTAGGTAGATTTTTAAAAAAATCTTCTTCATTCTTAATTTGCAATGTTTGATAGGATTTCCTCCAATACAATTAAGTATTATGTGTTATGCCCCATATATGCTATTGACTCGAGTTTCAGCCTGCTTTTCATTTTGCAGTTGTTTGAATTCGGAGTTGTCTCTCCTAGATGGGTTTCAGTACCCAGCTATCAAGCTTCATGTGCCCACGGGTTTGAACTCTAGACTTTTCGATTTAGAAACCTGACCCCAGTAGTTTAAGTGAAGGTAGATGTTTCACATTGATGCCAAACACATTATTATCAATGAAATAAATTAATTTAAATCACAAATAAGCAACTTATAATTTTTTTTCTAAAATCAGCTTTTTCATTAACATTTTTGAAAAATGATGAAATAAATTGTAAAAAATTTTGTTTTCCTTACCTTGCGCCAGGTGGAGGGATGTGGTAGAAAATATTTGCAGCTTCTAGGCGCTTGAGCTCCTTGTTACCTAACATGTGGGCAAAGACAGACCAATCTTCATCTTCTTTGGGTTTTCTTTTCTTGGGGTCAACATCTTCCCATGGTGCTTTGTGCCAAGCCCTCTCCGCAAGGGCAATCAGGAGTGGAAATATCACAGATTCTGTCCAGATTTGGCCTTGAATACCTGTGAAAATATTTAGTTGTCCCACATATTATATTGTGCAAGTACATTTTCTTTGAAAATCTGGTAATACTTTTTAAAGAAAATTCTGAGATATTAATTTTTTTTTAAGTTTCTATTAACAGAATTTTTGTTTTTAAAATGTGGCAGTTTTTTTAAAAAAAAAAACCTTTATTTTTTTTTGAAGAACAGGAAATAAACATACTGTGCTACATGAATAAATTTCCATCAAATAATTTTGGTTCAATGAATTACCTGTGATGTTTTTCGGCTTCTTTAGCTCAGTAAAATCTTCAAACTCCCTGAGCAGCTGCAGGTCCAGCTTAGTGATCTTCTCACCAGTCAACTTGACATCTGCGTTAAACATTAGATTTTCTGGAACAAACCGGAACACCTTGTGGGTGTCAAGGTAACGGCAGGCCCAGTACAGGCCTCGCTCTTCAGGGTCTGGTTCATATGGGTGGTCAAAGTAAAGGTGAGTGTCTGGTGCCAGAATGACCTGGACATTGGAAAATAAATGTGTGATATTAAAAATACAGATACTAAAATAATAAAAAAAATGTAAATAGGCCTATTTATTTCAAAACTTTATTTTTTCCTTTTCTTTTTTTAAGATAATCATTTGACATATTAAAAAATAAAAGCTACCATTAAAAAATGCTCATCAAACAAGCAATGACTGAAATAGAAAATGCCTGACCTCATAGACTTCATTGGCCAGTTTGTGTGCATCATATGCTTGTCCTGACTCCCAAACATTCCTACAAAAGTGAACCAAGATGTGGTTTGGGAACTTGCTGCGGCTGTATGGACCCACACTCTTCACCACCTAGAAGTGAACCATTAATAAATACACACTATCTAAAACTTTAGGGATCTACACTTTCTACAACCTAATATCAAATGTTTTCTATCTAATAAATCTAACAGAACAGCATCTTCAGATGTTAAAGTTCTAAATTTAATTTGTTTAATTATTCATAATTAATCATTGGACTTCTTAGATAAACTTTTTTTAAGTTTAAAACTTATATACCGTTTGTAAATCATTTTAAAAACTGCATTATTAGCAAAATGTGATTTTAAATTTTACACCATATTTTCTTACAAAAAGTAACAGAATTGTGGGGAACAAAAATAGACCAGCTAAAACAAGAAACTAAAATGTGTTTTATACCCTGAAACAGAATTACTTCACCACTCAAAGACTACAGCAAAACAATTTTTTAAAAATCATCAATATAAATGCTAAATTTCCCTGTGTATTAAAAGATAAGATTATCTTGTCTATAAATGTTCAAAATGCTAGATTACCTAGTCTACTAAGGTAACAGGTCAAATTACCTAGTCTACCAAAGTGAAAGGTCAGATCACTGATTCTACAAAGCTGAAAGATCTGATTACCTCATCTACAAAAGTAAAAGTAGACTCCAAGTCAGGATTCATGGAATTTTCTACCATCATCTGCACAGAGAAGCTGTGGCTTGTCTCATTGGGATCTGTCAGCAAACATCTCTTTGCTTCTTTCTCATTGTTCTGTTGGGCAGGGGAGATTACTTACAGTAAAGACTTGAAAGGGAGACAACATAAAGTTATGCAAGAATTTACAAAGAAGACTATTAGTTAACTGTTGTCTCATGGCTCTGATATTAGCATAGCTATGTCCTGGCATGTCAATTTCAGGTATGACCTCGATGTGTCTGGTTTTGGCGTAGCGCAGTATGTCTCTGTAATCTTCAACATTGAAGAACCTGCATCCCAGACCCTCAGGAAAAGGCCGACCTCAGCAGAGGTAACAAGCAGTTTTCTGTAGGGTCATGACCTCGCCTAGAAGACCCCACCTAGCAAATGAAACATCTGGATTTAGATTCAACTTACAATAAACATTAAGAAAATGATTAAATTGACATGTAATTTTGAAAACAATGCTAGAAATTATATGCAAAATATATGCAAAAGCTCAGAGAAAAGAAAACTTCTTAGAAATTTAACAAGGAAGATTTTGAATAGATAACTTGTAGAAAACATCACTCTTCTGAACAGTTTATGTTATTAGCATATGCATTGGACTAACAAATACAAATGATTAAGGAATCTAACAAGGGGGGAAAAACCAATCAAATTTCCATAAACATGGATTATTATAATATAATCTATAAATCTATAAATCGATGCAGGTTGGATTTGCCATCTTATGATTGAAAATGCTTACTTTTTTTTTGATTTAGCTAGATTGCTGCTAGATCTAGGACTATCGTCTGAAACACTACTGACACTGTACTGTTTTTTTTTACAAGTACTAGACTAGATCTAGATTCTTAGGTGTAGAAATAATACACTTAAACTAGAACTAGATCTATGTCAACATTAAACTGCTAACATGAAAAACAAATCGGGCAGTCCTGATATCTATTATTTTTAGATCGCGTTCCACCTAGAGTAAAGATTTAGCGTAACTCTGAGTAAACCGAACAAATGCGGCCTTGCCCTTTAGCATAACGCGGAGCGAACGCGTAAATGCTGCCTTATTTAAATAATGTAAACAAAGCAAAAAAAATCACTTTTAATCCGAAAAATAACTTAATTTTAGACATTTTACAGTTACTTTAAAAATGTGAATCAAGTAAACATCTTTCAAAATATTGACATAAATTAGAACTATATGCAATGGTGAATGAAATCAGCAAACATAGTTGGAGCTGTTTTATACTGCTCCTAGCTAACCTGGATGGATTTGTTGGATGGGTCCACCTCTACTGCATATGCTTCATGGTCTGAAACACCCTCTAACACAGGTTTTACTTGATTATTCCTAAGGATGATTGAATGCCGAGGGGAAGCAACCAATTTAGCACCTTCTTGTGAAACAGGAAGTTTCATTTTCTCTGGAAAATATTTAATTATTAGTCTAGTCTAGAGTCTATATCAAGGTAAGAAAATACTCACACTTTAAAAAAGTTTTGAAAAGTCATAATTCTAATGTAAACAAAATTTTAAAACCATTTACCTGATAGACAGGTTGCCTTAGGCCTTATACTTATACTCTGTTTGGGGAAGGTGAATGGTCCCACAAAACTGAGACTCTCCCTCTGTACACATTTAATGATCCTCGGCTCCAGGCCCTCCACAAGTTCTCACCTCAGTTTCCAACAGAAGAACGCCAACCAAAATATCTAGCACGCACACTAGATCTAGTCTAAGTCTAGATCCTAGAATAATCTAAATCTAGATTCTTACACGACGAACTAGTACTAAATCTAGCGTCACTAGTGTGATGGTGGAATTAAATATAGATCTAGTCTGTGCGCCCTTTGTTGGGCTAGAGTTCGCTGCAGTACAACGATAACTAGGCCCCTAGTGGCCTATTTAAAAAAACATTAACTTGACGATGTAGTAGGTGCAGAATACAGTGACGAGAAATAGAAATAGTTGGCAACATACAGTAGATGCCGGAGCATCTGCATAGCAGCCCAGAATGAAAGGAATTAAAATATGTCTTTCCTTTGCCTGGAAGGCTTCCTCTGGTGTTTGGTTGTTTAAAAGTTGAGAACAGGTCGTATGAATTTCAAATGCCGTACTGAAAAATAAAGCGTATAAAACAAAAATTTTTAAATGTCGGCCTAATAATAACATTTCGCCAAATGCGTACCACTAACAGCCTACCGGCCACAATTTTGTCGTTATAGTAATAGCGACTGTTGTCGAGAATTAATTAAAAACTCAAACCCCAGAAGACTATATTCTACGATTTAAAATTTATATTGATTATAGTTATAAACGTTTTTGATTTCCTCAAAATATCACAACAGCTTTTACTGTCCATAACCAGTCAGGTACAGAGGCGTAGCGACCCCTCCCGGCGCCCGGGGCGAACTTTCAGTTTGGCGCCCCTATATATATATATATATATATATATATATATATATATATATATATATATATATATATATACAGGGGCGGAACTACCATACCGCCAGACCCCGCAATGCGGGGGGGGGGGGGGGGGGGGGCAGGACGTTTAGGGGCCCAGTTCCGACCAAAAAACAATGCATTTTTTTTTTTCAAAAATTATGTTTTTCATGCATCTTGAAAGTGGTTTTGAAAAAAAAAAAACAACCGGTCTACTATAGCAGAGATTGTTGCGTAGAAAAATATTTTAAAATCTACAAGAGCTATAGTTTGAAAGGTAGGTAACATTCACACAACTTCCATGACTTATTGCCCTTCTTTAAAATAGGGATGCCCACGAAGCTCATTTAAATAGTTTTGTACTATGTATATTAAAAAGCAAATGATTCTCTGAATTGTTACTTAAATAAGACGTAATTTGCAATAGTATAGCTATAAAAATCAATGTTTTCAAAATTGATATTATAAAAGCCAAAAATGAAAAAAATAAATATAACGCGAGATACCATTCACGAATTAAGCTAACGTCTTTATATATTTTTGACCAGCATTTATAGATACATTAAAACTCAAGATGAAGTAGACTAAATTACTTAGAATATAGATTTTATATATATATATATATATATATATATATATATATATATATATATATATATATATATATATATATATATATATATATATATAGGGGGCCCTAGTTTTTTCTTTGCGGGGGAGCCTTTGATTTCTAGTTCCGCCACTGTATATATATATATATATATATATATATATATATATATATATATATATATATATATATATATATATGTGTGTGTATGTAAATGTATATGTATATAAATATGTGTGTGCGACAGTCCGGAAAAATATTAATAATTACGCTAAGATGCAATATCCTTTAAAAAATTATCAGTAATGTCAGAAGAATAATATTTGTAGAAGTTGCTAATTCGTTCAGGACAGTCTTTTTATGTTTTATCTTTGGAGCAATCTCTGTCGTGATATAGTACATAGTTGGATTATAAGCAGAGTTTCTTCCAGGCACCTCTTCGGGGGGCGGGGGCGAAGCCCCCCCCCCCCCCCCCCCCCCGAAAATTTTTTATCGCCCCCCCCCCCCCGAACGAAATGAAATTTATATAATTTATATAGAAAATATATACTTTTAACAGTGTCCGCCCCCCCCCCCCCGAAGAAAGTCTACCGCCCCCCCCCCCCCCCCCCCGAAAATTTCAAGTGCCCCCCCGGAGAAAAAAGTCTGGAAGAAACACTGATTATAAGTTTATTAGATTACGGTCATTCAATTTACTCACAATAGCAAAATTGTGTACACATTAGAATACGATTTGGGTATTTCGTTGACTGGTTGATTGTATAATGAAAAAAGCTAGAGGAAACAAACTGGAATCCAACGGACACAACAGCTCGAAGTCTTGGATTTATCAGATGTGCGCTGCCTTCTCGCACACAGTCAACAAGAAATTCAGAACTAATTGTACTGGTTGAAGAAGCTGTAATAACCGGTTTGCTAATTCGTTTAATATAGTCTTTTTATGTTTTATCTTTGGAGCAATCTCTGTCGTGATATAGTACATAGTTGGATTATAAGTTTATTAGATTAAGGTCATACAATTTACTCACAATAGCAAAATTGTGTACACATTAGAATACGATTTGGGTATTTCGTTGACTGGTTGATTATATAATGAAAAAAGCTAGAGGAAACAAACTGGAATCCAACGGACACAACAGCTCGAAGTCTTGGATTTATCAGATGTGAGCTGCCTTCTCACACACAGTCAACAACAAATTCAGTACTAATTGTTCTGGTTGAAGAAACTGTAATAACCGGTTTAATGATAGTAGCTGACGCCCATGACGTTCAGATTACAATCTTCAGCGATAAAATGCGTATTAGTATTAACATTCTAATTCGATGTAGAAATAAAATGCGTTTAAAAAAAATCAGTCATGCTTTATAGCTAAATATGAAATATCTTTTATTGTATGGCTCGAAGCTAGCTTAAAGACAGTGGAGAATGAAAAGATGGTGGTTAGGACACAATATGAGAAAGACAAAAAAATAACATCACAATGCAGGTGCTGGTATGAAATCCACGGTGAAAGAGGAAGAGAAAAAGACTAAATAAGTCCTGAAGGAAATCGTTTGAAGTAGAGAAGGGGGAGGCTGGATTATTAGGGTTCGATCTTCATAAAAATCAAGTGATTTGACGAAGTTTCACCTGCGCCTATGTTCCTTAGGAAGCCGAAACGAATAAAAAGAAGTAATCAAAAGAGTTTAGAACAGTGGGTTCCATCGAACCCAAGAGGTTCAGTAAGTCAGTCTCAGGGCTCCCGTTGAGGTTAAGACAACCAAGTGTCAAAAGAGTTATCTAGTCACCGATCCACGCTTTTTTGTCGGTGAAAACGCGCCCCCCCCCCCCATCTAGGAAAGTTTAGTACAATGGGTTTCTTTTCTGAGTGATATCGGTTATTTATTCCTTAATCCGATGTGAATTTTTTTCCGATTTAGTCTTCGAAAAAGCGCCCCCCCCCCCCCCCCAATCTAGGAAAGCTGGAAAGCCGTCTTTCCGGTACCTGTTTCTTAAGAATATACGTTGTACAGTTAAACAATCAAGGTACAAAATAGTTAAATCATAATGCAAAGGCTTTCAGCCGTTATATTTATTTACTTTGACTGTTTATAATTCAAAACTGCAGCTTAAAATGAGCTTTTAAAAAAAATCTCTACCCCTTTTGGCGCCACCCCCCATAGGGTCGGCGCCCGGAGCGGCCGCCCTCCCCGCCCTCCCCTAGCTACGCCTCTGGTCAGGTACCAGTTAAAGCTGCTTTGAATTTAAATCAGAGACAACCTAAATGATTAAGATTTAAACTAAAGAATTTTTGCTTTAGCAAATGTGTTCACAAATATGTAGTCTTTCATGTGCATATTATTAACATTAATTTGAGTTTATATGAATACTAGCCATCGGTACCCGTTTCACGTGAATTATAGGCCTATAATTTTAAAATGTACTTGTTTGAGAAAAATAATTTATGAAATAGTTATTGGTCAAAACGCAATGTGCTTTACTACACGCTGAACGATATTAGCGACAAAGCAAAAATAATAACTCATTAGCTAAAAATCCGACACATTTGACATAACACTGGCACACACTGATTAAGTGACTTAAACGATTCCGTTAAAAATCTGGCTATTCAATAGTCATTACGTTGTTTTTAAGTAATTTGTATTAGTTTGACCGATAAAATCTATATAAATATAATTCTCTTCTGGGAGACGTTAGAAAACAAGCTGCAAGCGCCTCCTTGCAGTCCCCTCTCTTCCTCTCTATCACTATCACTACCACCCCCACCCCACCCCACATGGTCTGGTGAGCTGTGCTCACGTTAATGTTTACAAATAGTAGAGCCGGGTTTAGTGACGGCTATTAGGGGCAGATAATTTAGTTTGAACCGATTTTAAACTTACAGGAGGTAACTAAGAGGAGGCTGCTTTACCGGGGGGGGGGGGGGGGGGTGTAGGGTCGGGGTTAGAGAAAAGGAGGGGGGTTAGTGTTTTAAAGCAAATATTTTCAGTGGCAGCATTGGTACTGTCGAATTCACAAATTATGAATTACTGAAAAGTAGAAAATAAATCAACTAAATAGCGGCGTATGATACGCCGCGGGTCGGCTCGTTGTATATATTTCATAGCGTACGTCTTGATGAGTAGATCTATAGATCTAGATCAAACTTGAATAAAGTAGTTCCTTTTTTATAGTCTAAAATAGTAAGATTCACATGTAAAAATAAATAAATAAATTACGTTTGACTCGGTGTGTCTCGATCCAGCCCCACCTGTGTGGTATTATGTACACTATCTTTCCAACTTTCCAGCTATTTAGGTACCTTATAAAACATTGAGAATAAAAGAAGTGTTTAAAAAAATAACTTACGCGAATATGCCTATTTTTTCAAATTCATTTTTTACAGTTTCATAGCGAAACAAACAAAGATTTGTATAAAATATTTAAGTCCTGAAAAAGTTTATTATAGAAATTTATTTTTGGAATAGATTCTTGTTACGGGTCAGTTGTAGGTTAGACTAGAATAGGATAGAATGATCTAGAATTAGGGGAGAGTGAGTGTGTGAGTTGAGTTTACCCTAGAATATTGTTAACCCCGGTGTGTTTGTGTATTGATATCCCAAGGTCGAATGCGGTATAAAAGCTGGAGTGAATGGTTGTCAGGGGTTAGTTAGTTGGCAGGGTTAGGTCGAGGGCTATGTTGTAATGTGATATGTGAGACCTAATAAACGTACCGAACGTTAACCCGAGTCGTTCTTGAATTCGAATCTAACCAGGACGTAACAATTCTACAGTAGATAGAGTCTAAATCTAGATCTAAAATAGATCTTAGCGCCTTAGCCTTATCGTCTACGTCTAGTTTTTGCGTAGATTTAGATCTAGTCTAGATCTAGAATCTCTAGATCTAGAATTCAAATAGATAAAATATATTTTTTTAAGTTTAGGTTTAGAAAATCGTATTGTATACATTTCATAGCGTACAAAGCTCTAAATCATATTTGAATGAAATAGTTCATTTCTTTTTATTCTAAAATCGGCGGATGACGTCATTAGTTTCGTGCTCTTTTAGTGTAAACAATAAGCGACGTCATTGTTAAATGCGTTCTTGTCCCAAGTATAAACACTTTTCCGGTTGCATAATTAACATTGTTTTTCTACATTCGAATACGCCTTTATTTTTTTATTTTTCTTCTTTAAATACAATTGTGGTTATACATTTAAAACATCTACCATATTATTTTCAACAAAATTCCGTATCAAGATCTCGATATATCGCTGCAGATTCTGATGTGATGTCCGGCGAAAATATTTTGAAAAACGTATCTGTAAAGGACCATAACTTGTGTGTTTAGTAATCAGCATTTATCTGGCATTGCCCACCCTAACCACAACCAACCAAAACAAACAAAAAACGCAAACATTACACTAACACAAAACAAACACAAACGAAAACACAAAAAAAAACGCAAAGACAAACCCAACAACAAACACAAAGAAAACAGAAACACTAACGCAAACAAAAAAGCAAACGAAAATAAACCAAACGCAAACACAAACCCAACCACAACCAAACAAAACCAAAACTAAAACATACCAAAAAAAAAACAACGCAAACATAACACACACGCAAATACAAACACAAACGAAAACACAAAAACAAACACAATCACAAACACAAAGAAAACACAAACGCAAAGATAAACTCAAAGTATACACAGTCTAGCCCGGGGCGCCAAATCGCACCATGACGACGTGCGGCGTAACTGCCTGATTCAACTTAGTAAACTACTATAGTACCCAACTTATTTATAGTCTTTTGAACTCACTTACGCAAACGTAGGTACCATAGCGTACACGGGAAGGCCCGGGGCGCCAAATAGCATCCGCTCGGGGTGCCGGAGGACGCCCAGATTTGATGAACTTAAAGACTATAGTAACCTTTCTTATCCATAGTCTATCGCACTGTTTAAAACAAAATTATGCAGCATAGCGCTCACATGATAGCCCAGGGCGCCAAATCGAACCGTGTATGGGTGCCGGCGGTCGCGCCTGTTTCAATTTAGTGAACAAAATTATAATACTCCAAGCTTATCAGTAAATGGAAAGAAATAAACATATAGGATTTGTAGGACCTGGCTTATTAAATGTTATTGATTTAAAAAAAATAATTAGTAAACAGTATGTCCAGTGTATAGAATAAATAAAAGGCAGTATTAAAAATACCAACGACATTGCACTTAATCAATCCCCGCTAATTATGTTATTTATTTATTTTTCTTAACACCAAAACAAAGTAATAAAAAGTAAATTCTTTCTTCCCCCGATTTAAATCTAAGGGGAAGTAACTGTGTTTTCCAAATCAAGGGACGCTATGAGAACTAAAGGACAAAATGCAAATACATTTCAGACATAATTTTAGAAATTTTATAAACGTTGATACACTTTTAAAAATATTTATGTAATGTTCATAATTGAAAATTATTATTCTAAGTACATAAAATGAAAATTGTTTTAAAGACTTTCAATAGTAATTTTTTAACTCATAAATTTAGACCATAATAATCTAACACTTAAATCCATCAAAGTATCCACGACAAACATTTTACAAACATTTTACATACAGAATTGAGCTTTATATATTAGATAATATTACATCCCCAATCACCACAACACATTGACTCTACTAATCCAAATAAAAAATAAAAGTGTTTGCTAAATTACTATTATATTACTAGTAATTATTTCTTTGACAATTTTAACTTTAATGAAACCGGAAGTAATTTTGTACTTATTACACAAATGTCATAAAATATTCAATTGTGGTTAAAATATGTTTCCTGGCAAAACAATTTGGGGACATTTGGAACCAGCTTTTACAGTCTATTGATGTTTTTTTTTTACTTTTCTCGTATATACGAAGTATAAAGAAAGTATTGTAATCGTGCAAAAAAAAAATCGTTGCAAATCTCGACGTTTTACACCTCCCTGAGTAGGAAAAACCTAATTTTGCAATCTTGTTCGTATGTCTGTGTGTGTGTATGTGTTTGTGTGTGTGTATGTGTGTGGTTCTGTAAACACGATATAAGAATTATATCAACTTTGTAGATCAGTATCAACTTTTCAGCGAGTTCCGATAGCCGGAATTGGAACTTTGTTCTACTTTCAATTTTTCAAAAGCCTATAACTTGAGTACTATTTCAGATAGATAAATGAAATTTCACATATAACTATAAGTAAAAGATTTAATGCTTTGCATTCTATCAAATTTTGAGTAATTTCCGTTGACCGGAAGTAGTAATTTACGCTATTTCTAATTTCTAAAAAAAAACGTATGTGAATTTATAAAGTACTAATAATATCCCGCACAATAATGCGCATTTTATTTGGCGTTCACTTGGTGGGCAATTCTTTTTTCTAACAGATTCTATTCCACTATAAAATTTTTAAGTAATTAAAAATGGATTAAAAATATTGTCCGTATCCCGAGTTGCCATCCCCCGTAGTGTTGTATAAGAATATTCTAGAAAGTTTAGGGGAGATCACTCCCGGTTTATTTTATTGAACATTATGTATTCCACGCTACACACAATGCCATTGCACTTTAAAACTTTTTCCAAACACTGACACATTTTAATTATCTGGCTGAAATCATTATTGGTTTTGTTTAAGGTTCTGTGTATGAACCAGCTAATTGTAATTTGTGGCACTGTATAAAAGTTCTGATCATTGATTGATCTACTTATATTATTGTCATAAAATTATTCAATTGTTGCAATCTAGAAATCATTTTGTGAGTGATATGATCACCACACACTGCTGCATTTTTCTGCATTATAAACTTATGACTAGAATTGTTAAGTCTATTAGGAATTCATTTTCACTCTATTTTTTTAGATGTGAAATTTTTGTTGTCTGGCACATGATCCTGCCCTATTGACATTGTACTTAAAAAAATTCGTTGCACGAATTTTAATGCGGGGACGTGTAACAGCCTGTACTTAGGTATTTAGGGGAGAGAATGAAGTATAAACGGGTGTGTAACTGTAAGGTGGACAAGTGTGCTGTCAGAATGTCACTCTGTTCTTGCACTGTCCTTGTATTATTATTTCAGCTATGGATTATTGTTTGATTGTCTCAACTTCAAGATGTGTACATAATAATATTACAGTTATATCGTTCAGCAAAGAAGTGTACTGTCATGGTAATATCAAGAATCCACAATAACAGTTTTATCCACCACATATGATTGTTACAAGTATAGTCCTACAACTACAATCTAGTCCTACCACTAGAGTCTAGTTCTACTACAACAAGCTAGTCCTACCACTCTAGTCCTACTACAACAATCTAGTCTTACCAAAGTCTATTCTTTCCACGATAGTCTTACACAATACCACCGGTTTAATAGAGCTAGGGTTTACTGCCACACAAACAAGACACATTGTTAATTAGTCTCATTGAATTTAAAAAAAACTTTTTTTTTATTTTAATAAAAAAATATAGTCCTACGTCAATGTAAGTGTTTGCATCCTGTATCTGTGGCACTATCAACTAAATTGGAGAAGTGACGTTTGAGAGCGACTTTCCCTGGTGTCAGTTTGGATGACTCAAACCTTCCAGTCCCCAGTGAAACAACACAATTAGAGTTTACATTTGGCCACAGAAACCTACTTTCATGGATGGCCAGTGCTGCTGGTTTATTGGCCGAGATACCTCCATCCTGTTGGGAACAAATGTCCCTGTTGGGAACAATTTTGCCAACCAAATATCATACTTGTTATTTAACGGAAACTAAACTTGTATTATGACGTTTGTCAACATCCACTTAAATTTGGTGAACAAACATTAGAAAGCTAAAATCCAATCAAATAAATTTGGTGAACAAACATTAGAAAGCTAAAATCCAATCAAATAAATTTGGTGAACAAACATTAGAAAGCTAAAATCCAATCAAATAAATTTGTTGATCAAACATTAGAAAGCTAAAATCCAATCAAATAAATTTGGTGAACAAACATTAGAAAGTTAACATCCACTCAAATTTGGTGAACAAACATTAGAAAGTTAACATCCACTCAAATTTGGTGAACTAAAAGAAGTTTGATAGCTCCCGACAGCAACTTATCTAGAAGAGAAAACTTCAAAATCAAACAGTTGATGCCTTGTAATTTGTTCTTATATGGACAAAGACAATGGAATTAAAAGCAGGCTGAAATCAGATGCATAACAAGTTGCCACATAACACTCATTTGTGTTGGAGGAAATCCCATCCAACATTACAATAAGAACAAAGAAGGTGAATAAAACTTAGATAATTAAATTCTCTTTACTTTTGGTCAACACTTGATAAATGTTGGTAGAATAAATACACTAGCAGAACTACCACAAAATATTTACATACACAATACAAGAAACAAATTTTCTACTCAACCTATAGCATTAGTTATGTAGACGTGTTAGTCCATCAATCAGAATACATGATGTATCATACAGGGCAATGTGAGTGAACTTAAAGGTCAAGGTCAAGCGTTAGATTTAAGGATTAACAATTTAACATGAGTCAGCTAACTTTACACGAAAACCAAGTTTAGGCTTTAACTCCCAGGCATAATGTAGTAACCTGAGCAAAAAAAAAACCCATTCTATTCACGCACTCTCTCACATCACAACTACACGTACATCAGGAATAAAACAACATCACAACTACACGTACATCAGGAATAAAACAACATCACAACTACACGTACATCAGGAATAAAACAACATCACAACTACACGTACATCAGGAATAAAACAACATCACAGCTGCACGTACATCAGGAATAAAACAACATCACAGCTGCACGTACATCAGGAATAAAACAACATCACAGCTGCATCAGTTAAACCTATACCGGGAAGAAATCATCACTTCAACTGTACACAGGAATCCTCAGTGCATCGCATGATAGCAAAAGTAGCAAGCTGTGAAGATTTTTATAAATTTGTTAATAATCCTGAGCCTTTGTTAATTTTATCAATCAAAACATAAAACTACAAACTCAAATTTTAACAAACCGCCCAACCCATCTTGCATATTAAATCATACAATGTTTTAGTTTTTAACTTATGTCAAAACTATATTCAAAATGCACACAGCACATCCCATACTACTTACCTAACTGGATTACACATCCCAATACAGTTCCAACTAAAGCAGATGCCACCAGGGTTTTAATGGTTGGACGTCCTATGCGGCTCACAGCTGACTGCATTTTTGCAAAAAGTCTGGCACCAAGGTTGGATTTAGATAACAGCCTATGGATAATCCCAGCTGGAGAATTAGGTATAATTTCAGCTGAAATAAATTTAAATTTAAATTTTCATCTTTATGCTCGTTGGTCTTTCAAAGGCAGCTCCAGTTTTTGAGCTTGTGTGGAGGAGATGATCTATAAAATCGGCCTAAAACTTAGGCTTTGATCGTAATTTTATCGTGTACAAAAATAATCGGATCTTCAACACAAGTGAGTTTAGAAGTAACACATAACTTACGCGCTGAAAATCCAATTGCATTCAGGAATCGCGGAGAATAAGAAGAAAATAAGCCCATGACAGCGGCACACATTGTCACAAAGTGATTAAGCTGTGACAAAATAATAAAATGGAATGACAGTATCGCAAAAACCTTCCAATTCATAATGCCCTTAGTAGCTCTATAAGAAAATTTCAAATGTAAAAGGTTAAATTAAATTTCTACAAACAATTCGCAAGTTATAATCTTTCTCTGAAAGTATTAGTGCAACATTTTTCAGCTGTATTGGGAAAATCCGTTTCAATGCGAAATATCTAGGGTTAGGACTCAGTATAGGCTTAGAATTTAAGTTAGGATTTAGGCTACGCAATTCAAAGTAATTTCGATAGGTTTAGTCCTGAGTCTATTTCTACCACCAGTCTATCTAGTCCTACCACGACAGTCTAGTCCTACCCGTCTAGTCCTACCACGACAGTCTAGTCCTACCCCGACAGTCTAGTCCTACCACGACAGTCTAGTCCTACCACGACAGTCTAGTCCTACCCGTCTAGTCCTACCACGACAGTCTAGTCCTACCCGTCTAGTCCTACCACGACAGTCTAGTCCTACCCGTCTAGTCCTACCACGACAGTCTAGTCCTACCACGACAGTCTAGTCCTACCACGACAATCTAGTCCTACCACGACAGTCTAGTCCTACCACGACAGTCTAGTCCTACCACGACAGTCTAGTCCTACCACGACAGTCTAGTCCTACCACGACAGTCTAGTCCTACCACGACAGTCTAGTCCTACCCCCAGGGTCTAGTCCTACCACGACAGTCTAGTCCTACCACGACAGTCTAGTCCTACCACGACAGTCTAGTCCTACCACGACAATCTAGTCCTACCACGACAGTCTAGTCCTACCCGTCTAGTCCTACCACGACAGTCTAGTCCTACCACGACAATCTAGTCCTACCACGACAGTCTAGTCCTACCACGACAGTCTAGTCCTACCACGACAGTCTAGTCCTACCACGACAGTCTAGTCCTACCACGACAGTCTAGTCCTACCACGACAGTCTAGTCCTACCACGACAGTCTAGTCCTACCCCCAGGGTCTAGTCCTACCACGACAGTCTAGTCCTACCACGACAGTCTAGTCCTACCACGACAGTCTAGTCCTACCCGTCTAGTCCTACCACGACAGTCTAGTCCTACCACGACAATCTAGTCCTACCACGACAGTCTAGTCCTACCACGACAGTCTAGTCCTACCACGACAGTCTAGTCCTACCACGACAGTCTAGTCCTACCCGTCTAGTCCTACCACGACAGTCTAGTCCTACCACGACAGTCTAGTCCTACCACGACAGTCTAGTCCTACCACGACAGTCTAGTCCTACCCGTCTAGTCCTACCACGACAGTCTAGTCCTACCACGACAGTCTAGTCCTACCACGACAGTCTAGTCCTACCACGAGTCTAGTCCTACCACGACAGTCTAGTCCTACCACGACAGTCTAGTCCTACCACGACAGTCTAGTCCTACCACGACAGTCTAGTCCTACCACGAGTCTAGTCCTACCCCACAGTCTAGTCCTACCCGTCTAGTCCTACCACGACAGTCTAGTCCTACCACGAGTCTAGTCCTACCACGACAGTCTAGTCCTACCACGACAGTCTAGTCCTACCCGTCTAGTCCTACCACGACAGTCTAGTCCTACCACGACAGTCTAGTCCTACCACGACAGTCAAGTCCTACCACGACAGTCTAGTCCTACCACGACAGTCTAGTCCTACCACGACAGTCTAGTCCTACCCCCAGGGTCTAGTCCTACCACGACAGTCTAGTCCTACCACGACAGTCTAGTCCTACCCGTCTAGTCCTACCACGACAGTCTAGTCCTACCCCACAGTCTAGTCCTACCCCCAGGGTCTAGTCCTACCACGACAGTCTAGTCCTACCACGACAGTCTAGTCCTACCACGACAGTCTAGTCCTACCCCCAGGGTCTAGTCCTACCACGACAGTCTAGTCCTACCACGACAGTCTAGTCCTACCACGACAGTCTAGTCCTACCACGACAGTCTAGTCCTACCACGACAGTCTAGTCCTACCCCACAGTCTAGTCCTACCCCCACAGTCTAGTCCTACCACGACAGTCTAGTCCTACCACGACAGTCTAGTCCTACCACGACAGTCTAGTCCTACCACGACAGTCTAGTCCTACCACGACAGTCTAGTCCTACCACGAGTCTAGTCCTACCCCACAGTCTAGTCCTACCACGACAGTCTAGTCCTACCACGACAGTCTAGTCCTACCCCGACAGTCTAGTCCTACCACGACAGTCTAGTCCTACCCCACAGTCTAGTCCTACCACGACAGTCTAGTCCTACCACGACAGTCTAGTCCTACCACGACAGTCTAGTCCTACCCGTCTAGTCCTACCCGTCTAGTCCTACCCGTCTAGTCCTACCACGACAGTCTAGTCCTACCACGAGTCTAGTCCTACCCCACAGTCTAGTCCTACCACGACAGTCTAGTCCTACCACGACAGTCTAGTCCTACCACGACAGTCTAGTCCTACCACGACAGTCTAGTCCTACCACGACAGTCTAGTCCTACCACGACAGTCTAGTCCTACCACGACAGTCTAGTCCTACCAGTCTAGTCCTACCACGACAGTCTAGTCCTACCCCACAGTCTAGTCCTACCACGACAGTCTAGTCCTACCACGACAGTCTAGTCCTACCACGACAGTCTAGTCCTACCACGACAGTCTAGTCCTACCACGACAGTCTAGTCCTACCACGACAGTCTAGTCCTACCACGACAGTCTAGTCCTACCAGTCTAGTCCTACCACGACAGTCTAGTCCTACCCCACAGTCTAGTCCTACCACGACAGTCTAGTCCTACCACGACAGTCTAGTCCTACCACGACAGTCTAGTCCTACCACGACAGTCTAGTCCTACCACGACAGTCTAGTCCTACCACGAGTCTAGTCCTACCCCACAGTCTAGTCCTACCACGACAGTCTAGTCCTACCCGTCTAGTCCTACCACGACAGTCTAGTCCTACCACGACAGTCTAGTCCTACCACGACAGTCTAGTCCTACCACGAGTCTAGTCCTACCCCACAGTCTAGTCCTACCACGACAGTCTAGTCCTACCCGTCTAGTCCTACCACGACAGTCTAGTCCTACCACGACAGTCTAGTCCTACCCGTCTAGTCCTACCACGACAGTCTAGTCCTACCCCACAGTCTAGTCCTTCCACGACAGTCTAGTCCTACCCGTCTAGTCCTACCCGTCTAGTCCTACCACGACAGTCTAGTCCTACCACGACAGTCTAGTCCTACCACGACAGTCTAGTCCTACCACGACAGTCTAGTCCTACCACGATAGTCTAGTCCTACCACGACAGTCTAGTCCTACCACGTCAGTCTAGTCCTACCACGACAGTCTAGTCCTACCCTCAGGGTCTAGTCCAACCACGACAGTCTAGTCCTACCACGACAGTCTAGTCCTACCCTCAGGGTCTAGTCCAATCACGACAGTCTAGTCCTACCACGACAGTCTAGTCCTACCACGACAATCTAGACCTACCACGACAGTCTAGTCCTACCACGACAGTCTAGTCCTACCAGTCTAGTCCTACCACGACAGTCTAGTCCTACCACGACAGTCTAGTCCTACCACGACAGTCTAGTCCTACCACGACAGTCTAGTCCTACCAGTCTAGTCCTACCACGACAGTCTAGTCCTACCACGACAGTCTAGTCCTACCACGACAGTCTAGTCCTACCACGAAAGTCTAGTCCTACCACGACAGTCTAGTCCTACCACGACAGTCTAGTCCTACCCCGACAGTCTAGTCCTACCACGACAGTCTAGTCCTACCACGACAGTCTAGTCCTACCACGACAGTCTAGTCCTACCACGACAATCTAGTCCTACCACGACAGTCTAGTCCTACCACGACAGTCTAGTCCTACCACGACAGTCTAGTCCTACCCGTCTAGTCCTACCACGACAGTCTAGTCCTACCACGACAGTCTAGTCCTACCACGACAGTCTAGTCCTACCACGACAGTCTAGTCCTACCCGTCTAGTCCTACCACGACAGTCTAGTCCAACCACGACAGTCTAGTCCTACCACGACAGTCTAGTCCTACCACGTCAGTCTAGTCCTACCACGACAGTCTAGTCCTACCCTCAGGGTCTAGTCCAACCACGACAGTCTAGTCCTACCACGACAGTCTAGTCCTACCCTCAGGGTCTAGTCCAATCACGACAGTCTAGTCCTACCACGACAGTCTAGTCCTACCACGACAATCTAGACCTACCACGACAGTCTAGTCCTACCACGACAGTCTAGTCCTACCAGTCTAGTCCTACCACGACAGTCTAGTCCTACCACGACAGTCTAGTCCTACCACGACAGTCTAGTCCTACCACGACAGTCTAGTCCTACCAGTCTAGTCCTACCACGACAGTCTAGTCCTACCACGACAGTCTAGTCCTACCACGACAGTCTAGTCCTACCACGAAAGTCTAGTCCTACCACGACAGTCTAGTCCTACCACGACAGTCTAGTCCTACCCCGACAGTCTAGTCCTACCACGACAGTCTAGTCCTACCACGACAGTCTAGTCCTACCACGACAGTCTAGTCCTACCACGACAGTCTAGTCCTACCACGACAGTCTAGTCCTACCACAACAGTCTAGTCCTACCACGACAGTCTAGTCCTACCCGTCTAGTCCTACCACGACAGTCTAGTCCTACCACGACAGTCTAGTCCTACCACGACAGTCTAGTCCTACCACGACAGTCTAGTCCTACCCGTCTAGTCCTACCACGACAGTCTAGTCCAACCACGACAGTCTAGTCCTACCACGACAGTCTAGTCCTACCCGTCTAGTCCTACCCCCAGGGTCTAGTCCTACCACGACAGTCTAGTCCAACCACGACAGTCTAGTCCTACCACGACAGTCTAGTCCTACCCGTCTAGTCCTACCCCCAGGGTCTAGTCCTACCACGACAGTCTAGTCCTACCACGACAGTCTAGTCCTACCACGACAGTCTAGTCCTACCACGACAGTCTAGTCCTACCACGACAGTCTAGTCCTACCACGACAGTCTAGTCCTACCACGACAGTCTAGTCCTACCCGTCTAGTCCTACCACGACAGTCTAGTCCTACCCGTCTAGTCCTACCACGACAGTCTAGTCCTACCCGT